CAGTACTTTTGTCAATCCTGTAAAAATCCAGTCGGTCTTAAGCAACAACTATTCGGGGCAAGACACTGGCTTCCTGTAATACCGGTTGTACTTAACCTTGCCTAGCGTGCTGTTGGCCTATACAAGTTTATGTACAGTAGGTGTGAACGCCGCGAAATGCATGGTTAGTTGTGTATGAAAGATGTGGGTAGGGATGAACTAGTGAAGTATTGGAAAAGGAGAATGCACTTCTAAAGAATAAACACATACCAAGCAGATATACCGATGAATTGCTTGACCAGTGGATTTCCTAGTAAGAAGTTGAGAAATGGGAAATGCTGTTTTGATAAGATGTTTGATCTCTTGCCTTCATTTCCAGTCCTTTTTATCAAATTAATTAAGACGGGAAGAAGAATGACGTAACAATACTCAAATCAAGGGTGTCAGTTCCCTAAGGAATATTAAAATCGTGGGTAGTAAGAAGAATGATGTAACAATACTAAAATCAAGTTGTCAGTTCTCAAAGGAAAATTAAGCTCGTGGGTATTAAACCGTACGTTTTAGACAGAAGGAAAGTACATGACCAAGTTTCATTTCGTATTTCGTAAGAGCAATACCACGAACAAGTATCATGGTCTCATTATAGCGCTCATCAAGGGAATAAAGAAACTACTGTTGGCCAGAGCTTAACAAAGAACCCTTCTTGTCGAGTTGCAAGGCCGCTTCCTCCTGGCTACCCCTATACCTGTTGGTGCGCTCGCATCACAGAACAACAGATGTGTCGTCATATCATCTTTGTTTGTCTGTCTGGTTCATTACCTTTGTGTCTCTGCTCTTGTGTCTATTCTATTTATTTATATATTCATGTTTTTTTTGGTTTTTGTTTTGTTTATTTGTCTCTCTGGCCATCTTAGGAACGTCACATCTATCTACTGCATATGATAATCTATTTCCCAATACATCTACGCCTTGTCACCCTCCTTTCTCTCTCTCTCTCTCTCTCTCTTTCTCCCTTTCCTCGCCCCCTCATTACACTTGCACACACTGATTGTCCTTATCTCTATCTAAATATTTAGAGCGAGCAGCCAAGAGGTTGCCGTCATGGTCAAGACAGCTCTCCACATGGCCTACGTATAAATAATCTTTAAGTGATGACCATGGCGAGATTAAGTGAGGAGTATTCTTCTTCGATTATACAAGGCAGTAAAGCAGTGTCTGTGAAACGGATGGTGTGTGGGTTAAGTAGACGGTATTCCATCTCCTGACAGCGTTGTGTGGAAGCGACGTTTTCATTATAAGCGGGTTTTCCTTGGTAGTTCCTGTGTGTGTGACGGATGCACGCGCGTGACGGTACTTGTAAAGGAAAGGCGTCAGGTTGATTCCCTTTTAATTCGGTGACTAATGGAATAATGGGAAAATTAAAGAAAACCGTAAACAAAGCATAATATGGCGTCCTTCATTACGAAAAAAAATCATAAACAAAGTTCACTTTTTGTTGCAGAAATAGGAAGGAAAAAGATGTAGAGGTAAAAAAAAAGAAAAAAAAAAGTGTATGTGCGTCCGCGCGTGTCTGTTTGTTTGTTTATTTGAGTGTGTTTGAGTGTGTGTGTGTGTGTGTGTGTGTGTGTGTGTCTGCGTGTGTGTGTGTGTGCATGCGTGCATTTGCGTGTGCGTGTGCATGTGTGTTCGTGTGTAGATATTTACACAGAATGTATATACATGTCATATGGGAAATGACTAATTCAAGGACACTCAAAACTCACATAAACTTTAGCACGAATTATGTTAGGTTGACTTCAGTACAAATACAGACTTTGGATTAGGTTTGGATAAGTTGATGTGGATTGGGTACGGTTTGAATTAGGTTGAAATAGGTCATGAAGCTGGATCATTTGCGATTTTTTTTTCAACGCCCTGAGTTTTCACTGATATCTACATATATAACCTACACTCATATAATAATTTTAAAGGTATTGGATATATAAAAGAATTAAGAAAAAAAACACTGGAAGAAACAAACAGAAATAAAGGGAAACATCCATAACAAATACAGACAGAAAGACACTAAATAAATCAACACACAAAATCATACACAGGAAGCCACTGAGTACAACCACTATCTACAAATCTGAAGATGAAGATTCAACAGTCGTAACAAACACAGATAAACAAGACAATAAACATGTAGACACGCCAAAGCAAGAACCCACTGGTACAAAATCACACACACAGGAAGCCACTGAGTACAGCTAAGGCCAAGTTAAAAGAGAGTCATCCTCGCTTCGAAGATCGAGCTGACCACAGAACCTCCTGTGGCACCGAATTCCGGATATCTTTATGTCAGAAGTCTGCTGGCTTACTCTTAGACATTAAGCAGTGTGTCTCATGGCTGCAGCACCTTTGTTTTACTGCTGGGTTGAATGATTAATGAGTAGACAAGCAGTCAAGGTGGTGGTGGTTCGAATACAGGTTATATATTGTAGATATGTCTACTGCGTGTTACTGATGAAATTTATGTTTATTGGGTTAGATCAAAAGCAAAATACAATGGTAATGATTAAAATTGCCGCTTGATTTACTACAAAGGACAAACAACACCTATTTATAGGAGAAAAACAAACAAACATGTCAATGGGGAGATAAATATTAACACACAAATCATGATCAGAATACTACTTAGTTACTCATAAGGTCAAGCAGTTCGTATGCACGTGTGTCTGATGACTGATTCACTTATTTTACTACAGGGATGAAAGCTCTTTTGTCCGTAAGTCTAAAAATATGAAGAGTTAAAAATATTGATGACCATATTTGCAGAAGAATGATAAGGATGTTACTACTAGTATTGGAAATTATATAGTTTTAACATTAATAATCTGAATGTAAGTAATGATATTAGTAGTGATAATAATAACTGTAATATTACTAATAGTAATGGTGACAAGGAAAATGAAAATAATCATTCCCAAATATCATTAACTATAATGATGATGGCGATAGCAATAACGATGGCATTGATAATAGCAAAATAATATAAAATTATTACGTTCGTAATGATAGTGATGGTGATAATAATAATAATAATAATAATAATAATAATAATAATAATAATGGTAATATTATTAACACTATCATTATCATGACTACCATGAACATTAGTGTCATTAATTTCGCCAACATAACCATAAAAATTCTTGTGTCACGTAACATTATGATGAAACACGTCGGCACACTTTTAGCCGCACTCGGGTGTTTGTGTTTGTGCGATTCTGTTTGTTTGACACAAGCCTGTGGTGTGTTGGAAATTGGCTTAGCGAAATAGGCTATGGGGCTGAGATGAAGGAACAGTATGTGGTATGTGGTATGTGGGGGGGGAGAGGGGTCTAGGAGGGGAAAGGAAGGGTGGTGTTGGTTGTTCAATATCGACTTGACTCTGCGGACGCCCCGGCTTTGTGTGTCAATTCCCATTACTATTGATTGCTCTTAGGCCTACTTGTGTCCCTATTGGTGGGGGGGGGTGAATGGGCGGGTGGGTGGTGGGTGGGGGAGGAACTAATGGAGTGGCGTCCATTCCGTTATCGGTAATGGTGTTGGTATGACGAAAACTGTAAGATCAATTAGTGGAAATTATGATATCTATGGAAATAATGATGCTGATGTTTTCCCTCTAATGCTAATGTGCAAAAAGTTAAAACGAAAATGATGATTGTAATGGCGGTACTATCTGATATGTTGATATGTTTAGAGATTAGGAGTATGATGCGTGTGCCGCGTTACATTGCTTTCACATGAGTAATGACTAACAGCGTACAAAACCCAGGCGCTAATTTATCTTACAGCCAATAAAAAAAAATATTTCAGATAACAGCCATCTGATAACATCCATTCATATCTCGTAAATCAACAACATCATCCCGTAAACTAAAACAACTTAAACTGATTTAAGCGGCAAATTGTACTCTTAACATATCTCACACTCTTGCTAGGAATGGACAGCAACATGCAAATCCACGAGCTGTAAATGTCAAGAGGTCACGCTGGCAAATCTCAGTCTCCCATGCTATAACGTCTGGCCTTTGGAATGTTTTAACGCGTGTTCGAGTTTAATTACTCTTATTTTGTTTCTTTGTGTTTTTTTTTTTGTATGGTTGGTTATTAGTGTGTGTGTGTGGTCTCTTCTTTATTTGTATTTATTTTCTTAAAGGGGGGAGGGGGAGAGAGGGTGCTTTACTGACTGAAATGTTGTGATCTATATTCCTTCCGGTTCAGAGTTTAATGGTCAAGTCATTAATGATTATCTTTTTTAAATGTTTTAATTATCTCAAAACTTTATAAGAGACCAGAGAAAGTTTCCTCCGAAAAAATAAGAGAAAGAAATTCATCTCCTCTCTCAAATTCGTGATCTGAACAAACACTGGGGCATTTTCACTGACGTAAGTGACTCACGGGAAGGAAAGAGAGAGGCACTCACCAATTTTTTTTTTCAAGAGTTTTCATCTTTTCCAGAAATGTTCATGTATCGCCAGACTTGCATATATTTTAAGAAGTATTATTATGATTTAGGAAATATCAGTGTTGATAATGAGATAAGTGTTTTGTGAGGTGTAGATAGAAGTTGCATTTGACTGACATGCGATTCCTGACGAAAAGACATATATCTAATCTTGGGAAAGTACATGTCAAGTCTCTGTCAAGGATTAGTGATCGCTGTGCCTTCTTCTATGACACAGAGGCACTTCCTCAATTGCATTGGAAGTTCCTGCCGTGGCCTTAAGATATTCTCCCTCGCAATTCTTGCTTATGGAACGAAATACAATTTGCTCTTTGAAATGGAAAAAAACACCAATATTTGACCTTAGAAAAAAGAAAGAAAAAAAAGTAGGCCAAATGAACGCACTGGCAACTCCTCACGATGACGTCATTAGGGTGCGTCTATTCAGTAGTATCTCCAACAATAAATCCCATATATCTCTCTTATTCCACTCCGCACCTCCACTGCACCCAACGGTTAACCGAATCGCACAATCCACCCAATCCACCACAAAGAACCGACCCAAAAAATATAAAGGAAATAATAAAAAAATAAACAAGAAAAAAAAAGAAGAGTAAATCCTCGCCCTCGGACTCCCAACATCGCAGTTGTGTCTCAGACCCGGTGGAGGGAAGACGTGTCAATCTCTCTCTCTCACTCACACACACCCCCCACCCCCACTTCTTTTTTTTTTTTAAACCTCTCTCTCTCCCTCTCTCTCTCTCCGGAAAAAGGACTCCCGCCGAGTCTGAAAATAATGCCAGTGGGACCTCTCCTCCCCCCTACAGCGCGTCGCAAGTGAGCAAACAGGAACAAGATGACCGATAGAAATTCTCGTAGGATCGCTGACCTCGTGAAACTCTCGGGGAACAGCGAGTGTGCGGACTGTGGCTACCAACGTAAGGATACCAGAAGGATACCGTGGTGTAGAGTGAAGGATACGATGATATAGTGTGAAGGGGGGACCGTGATTGAGTGAAGGGGGGACTGTGTGATATAGAGTGAAAGGGGACCGTGGTGTAGAGTGAAGGGGGGGGACGTGATATAGAGTGAAAGGGGGGACCATTATAGAGTGAAAGGATATCATGATCGAGTGTAGGATACCGTGATATAGAGTGAAAGGATACCGTGATATTGAGTGAAGGGAGACCATTATAGAGTGAAAGAAAGGATATGATAGAGTGATCGAGTGTACGATACGATGATATAGAATGAAGGGGGACGTGATATAGAGTGAAAGGATACGGTGATATAGAGTGAAGGGAAACCATTATAGAGTGAAAGAAAGGATATGAGAGACTGATCGAGTGTAGGATACTGTGATATAGAGTGACAGAGTGATCGAGTGGTGGTTTCTGTCAGTGTGAAGGAGTGAGGAGGGGTTATTGTAGGATACCATGATAGAGTTAAAGTATACTGTGATAGAGTGATTGAGTGTAGGATACCATGATATAGAGTGAAAGGATACCGTGATAAAGAGTGACATAGGGTGATAATAGAGTGATTGGGTGGTGGTATCTGCCTGTGTGATGGAGTAAGGAATGGATAATGTAGGATACCATGATAGAGTGAAAGCATAGCATGGTAGAGTGAAAGGATAGCATGACAGAGTGATCGAGTGGCATTTTCTAACTGTGTGAAGGAGTGAGGAGTGGGAATTTTAGGATAGCATGATAGAGTGAAAGCATAGCATGATAGACTGAAAGCTTAGCATGATAGAGTGAGAGGATAGCATGATAGACTGAAAGCTTAGCATGATAGAGTGAGAGGATAGCATGATAGACTGAAAGCTTAGCATGATAGAGTGCGAGGATAGCATGATAGACTTGAAAGCTTAGCATGATAGAGTGAGAGGATAGCATGATAAAGTGATCGAGTGGTAGTTTCTGTCTGTGTCAAGGAGTGAGGAAGGGATATGAGGAGTAAGGGGGGTATTTTTCCCCTTCAGCAAAGTGTCAAGGGGTCATGGCCATGCTTTGAAGGGGAGTGTTTGCCTATTTTCTTACTTGCCGGAGGTATGTGAAGGCGAGGCGCGAGGGAATATGGGCACGGGGGCAATGGCGAGTGAATGCACGTTGCATGTGCATTATTTGATGGCAGTGTGCAGGAGGAGGAGGAGGAGGTTTTACGATTTTATGTTCGAGTTTTGAAGTTTGGGTGTATATGTTGGTTTTCATTTTTATGTTTTATTCTGTTTGAGGAATGAAATTTGCATGGTTGAAGGGAAATATGTATATCTGTTTAGTATTAGATTTCTTGTGAAAAAAGGGGAGCGGGGGGCAATGAACTGCTGTGAAGTGCCAAGTTGAAAATTATATGAAATAATTAGTGGAATATGATTTAGACATGCATTAAAAGTAGACATGGTGCATTAATATATTTGTGTTCAATTTCTATAACTAAATCATTAATATCATGCTATTCACATTATTTGGTATAGTCAGAAAGCTTATTACTTATTTTTAAGCCATTAATTTAGGGAAACCTGAAGTGAGCCTGATTATTAAGCTAGAGGAAATGGACCATAAATCACCCCATTATCATCTAGATAAACCACAGAACCTCATTTTTTTTTTATGTTTCATGCTCTAATAAGCTAGCAGAAATTCCCCTCCCGAAGTCGTAAAGGAAGAAGGGAGGTGTTGTAATATCCTCTTTCTCCCTTCTTCTCCTTCTCTCTCTCTCTCTCTCTCTCTCTCTCTCTCTCTCTCTCTCTCTCTCTCTCTCTCTCTCTCTCTCTCTCTCTCTCTCTCTCTCTCTCTCTCTTTTTCCCTCCCCCTTTCTTCTTTTCACCCTATTTTCCCTTCTCTCCTTCTTTCCTCTTCTCTCCCTCTTTCCTCTTCTTTTCTCCTCCCCTCCCATTTTCTCCTTACTACTCTCCCTCACCCAACACTTACTTTCCCTCTCTCCCATTTACCTCTCCCCTTCTCCCCGCTCTGCATCTTCGTTTCCACATTCACTGATATCCCTGTTGCCCTTCCTTTTTCACTGTCTCTCTCCATTCCTGCTCTTCTCTTCTCCCCACTCCTCCTGTTCTTCCTCTTTCCCCTTACCCATTCTTCCCCTCTTTCTTTCTCTCTCACTCCCTTTCTCTGACATTCCCTTTCTTAACTCTTCCCCCTTCACTGTACCTTCCCCTCTCTTCTTTATTCCCTCTCTCTCCATCTCCCTCTCTCCCTAATTCCTGGCCTTGCTTACCCCCTCCCCCCTACCCTCTCCACCTGAGGACCCCCCCCCTGTCATGCTAAAGAATATTTATAGAATCATTAATCAGGTGGGATCATGTGTGCAAAAGAAGTTAGTTTGCTTAAGCCTTTTTACTTTATTTATTTGGCCATTTAATGTGTCTTATTGCTAGTGTAAAATTTCACGTCTTAAAAAAGCAAGAGTAGTGGTTTTAAATTGCATGTCTTAGTAGTATATCTGGGAGTATTAAAGAAGAATGTATTTATCTGGAAACTTTGCTTTAGTCTCTTATATGAGTATCATTACCTGATAGCTTTAGAAATATACATTTTTTAAAATCTTAAAGAACAATATAGCAATTATTCCCAATGTCTTGGTTGCACAGTTAGAAAGATTTGAACTTAGGTAATCATGTCTTAAAGTAAATTGAAAATATGTATTTAACCCAGCCTGTGTTCACATGAAGCTTGGAGCTCTGTTGTCCATTAAGGGCCTAAGAAACTGTATTCAGAAATTTCAGAATGAATACTTTAAAGGGACAGTGTGTATTTCCTTTCAACAACTTGACGTGTGAATATCCCAAGGAAGCAAACCACAGGTAATCCCAATGATTCAGGCACAGTTCACACCCAGGAAATACGTTGCAATTTGTGTACATGAACGTTATTAGTGTTATTATCTGTCCAATTAATTTTAAAGGGGGTGGCTGGGATCATTGGTAATTCTTTGCTTGTGTTAGGTATTGTAAAAGAAATCAGTTTATATTAGATACTTAAAACTTTCTAGCAGGTTGTTTTGAATTGGAAATATAATTATGGAAATCATTTTGATGATCATGCTGTTGATTATATTAATGATAGTCGGTCATTGGGATGTTATAAATAATTGTCATACAGTGATGAGATAATGATGGTGATAATAATGATGTTAATTATGAAAATAGTAATGATACTGATGATAATGTTAATAGTAATTATGATGATAATGATAATGATAATGATATTAATAATTTGATAATAATGATGATAATATTAATGACAGTGAACAGGATAATGATATTAAGGATAATAATAGTGATGATAATGATATTAAGGATAATGATAATAGTATTGATAATCATAATGATATTGATAATGACAACAACAATAATAATGATAGTAATAATGACAGTAACAATGATCATAATAATAATAATGATAATGAAATGGTGATGATAGTGGTAATAATAATGACTGATAATGACAATAATGATAATGACATGACAACAACAATGACAGTAGTAATGATGACAGTAACAATGATCATAATAACAATGATAATGTTAATGGTAATAATAATGATAGTGACAATAGTAATAGTATTAATGATAATGATAATAATAGTAATAATGATAATGATGATGATGATGGTAATGATGACAGTGTTAATGACATTGACAGTGACATTGTCAATGATAATGAATAACAATGAAATGATAATGATAATGATAAAGATTATTACTAGTGATTTGGTTGTAGTAGAATTTTCCTGTGATGTTCACTGACCAAGTGTAGCAGCAACATTAGCAATGATTAGGGCGGCATTGCATCAAGCGATGGCCATAACCTTTGCATCTTTGGCGTTCTGGCAAAAGGACAGTAAACCTCCACCATGTATACTCTAGGAAGATAGAGCTTTTAGATCTACTTGGCAGTTTGTTATCAAGTAATGAACTAGTCCAAAACTTTTATCTTGCTGGGTATATATGTGGTAGAGATTTGCTTTGCTTGTCTTTGTAGGAAATTTTGAATATGATGGGGGTGGGGGGGGGGCTGCAGGGATCACTTGACGATGTGCTAAAGTCATGCTGGCGGTTATTGATTTGTTGCTCATCTGGTTCTTGTAGAATCTCGATATAGCTCCTTGTAAGAAATGCGATGTGGAGTGGGGCTCCTGGACATTGCAGGACAGTCATTATGTTTTGTTATATTACAGTGGTTTATTGATGTTAGCTAGTTTTTTTAAAATGTTATTTGTATAATAGTCCTGTCACACTATGCCTTTCCTAGCTGATAATGCTAGTAATGCTAATAGCACTATTAATGTTAATAATGATAATGATGATGTTCATGATAGTAATGATAATAATGATAATACTAATAATGATGGTAACTATAATAAAAAGATTAATTGTTAATGGTAATGATAGTATTAGTGATTGTAAAGGCAGTGATGAACAGTAAACATAAAATATGATGATATATACAGTTAATTAAAAGCAATTAACAACAGCTATGAAAATTAATAAAAATCAAAGGGAAGGACATTGAGAATAATCATATATTTTTTTTTATTGTTATCTTAAGTCAAAATTGCATATGGTAGGTTTACATATC